TTAACCCCTTAACTGGGAACTTTGGTTTGCAAAAGATGGATCTGTGATGGGACCTTTTTTCTCTGGTTTTTTGCTTGCTAGACCCTAATGACTTTAATTAAGCATAAAAATTTAACTATAATAGATAGAAAAGTGAAGTAAAATTTTCTAAGATGTCCATTACATGTAGAAATTTTTCATTAAAAAATTCAAATAATTTACATATTTTTATAATAAATAATATAATCATTATTATATAATTATAGAATTAATGACAATTAAATTTTATCATTGCATTATTACATAGAATGTATAATTAAACATGTGATATATATTGTAATATTTATTTATTATTTATGTATTTTCGTGTTTTATAAAATTATTGATATGCAAGTAACTGCATATGTACGGGTCTCAGGGCCATCTGTTGCAGCAGTAACTTGCTTTGTCTTGTATTCCCCTTTTCACGAATTTTACCATAATTATGTTAGATAGACATTCAAAATTTCATATGATGTAGGAGTGGTAAACAAGTTTCGTGTGCAAAGTCTGAATGGAAGCCAGATCGCCGCAGGGGACACCATCGATCGATTCAACGTCTCCAACGAAAGACTGCAGACTCGATTCAATGCAGTAGGCTTCATTTTCTTTATTACGTATCCTTCGTTCTCATGAATAGGAAGGAGGGAAACAATGGCCACAATTCGAAAGTGATCACTTTTTCATCGATTGACTTTCCTTTGAAGGAAGGGTCGATGAATGTGACGCTGGCTGCCTTCAACGAGTTTCAGCAATGGGTATATTCCACGGAACAATATGAGATCCGCATAGTGGGAAAAGTGCAGAAGATGAAGATCGACGACTATGGCCTCATCACCAAACCGGTTTGTTTCTTCTCTCAATATGAAATATGAGGTTGGAGTAGGTATCGTTCCCTTCTCACATGCATTTCATGAAAGGGGAGCATGAAAGAACTGGCGATCGGGTTTGAATCTCTCGGAGTGGACGCATGCCTTCTTCTCGATTTTGGTGATGGTTTCTACCCATACACATACGGGGAGGAGCAAACATGTCAAAACGTCTCCATGCCGACCTTTTACCAGCCTAATACCAATCTCACCAATCCTCTCATTGTCCATCACTTTTACTGGTTGGTCACATCGAAAAATGCTATGTCCTTATCGTGATTGGAATCTTCGAGTACGTCTGGTTTATCAAATAGGGACGAGAACGTATATCGTGTGACGGCGCAAGCATGGAACCAAGGATCATCGACTTCCACGACTTTGGAAATTGCAATCGTGAATCTGGACTGCATGTATCCAGATGTTGCCATCGAGGCTCACGAAGACACTTATATCATGTCTAAGCCTTTCACTATCAATGGCTTGGCTCGACTCAATTGCTCCTCTACCGTGTCTACCAGGTATGTCGCTTCCCTTCCTGATATGTTTGAGGTCTGCTTGGACTCAACCGATGCACCAAAGCAATGCTCTTTTCAGGAAAGCATGGAATGTCACTGAGGTGGACAAGCTGACCAAGGCGTATAAGAAGACGGTAAACATCCTAGACGGTTTGTTGAGATGGGATAAGCCTCAAATTTCTGTCCCGGCACGGTTTCTCCCCTACGGATACTACCGATTTCGGTACACCGTTGGCATGATCGGTATGTCCCGAATTTTCTTAACAAGAACTAATGCTGCAGTTTGCTCCAATTTTTCATGTACTTTTCCCTACCTCAGTAAGTATTTTTTAAGTCGTAAAGCCGGGTCAACAAAACGTTGTGGGAGATCTGCGTTTTGTTGGCGCCGAGGACGTCCTGAACGGGTATCAAGGTCAAGGCAACAATATGTGCATGAATGGAGAGGATTTTTCGTTGTGCTTGTACCTTCCACATGGCCAAAGGCGCATTCCGAAATGGTGAAGTGAAAGATCACGAGTTTTTCTAAAAGTTTTTGATTGGATGCTGCCAACCCACAGACATAGCTTTTGCCATTTCAATCTGGCAATCGTATTGGAAACAGTTATTGATGCTGTTTCCGAACAGGAATATAAGTTTTGTTATTTATTTCCTTGGCTATTTGCTTAAAGGGGGGGAAGATCCATCATTGTGGGACACCCTGTGGCATTTTCAATGCTACAGTGTGTCGTGATTGGTGTCATGATTTGGAAATAAAATTGCGATATGAAACTGATCGTCAACCAAAGACGATTCATCATTGAAAAATGTCCCGAAGTACCCCCTAACTGTAAAACTGAACATTTGGAAAATTTAAAATGATGCTTAAAGGAATTTTACGAAAGCGAAGGTAAAATATAGGTCAAATTCTATGTATGCAAGTGAGAGGAGGAAACCGAACATTTCGACAATATGGGTATAATTATGCCAATTATGCGTACATTGCGCATTCTTCTCCCATCGATAGACGGGCTATTATATGGAAAGACCTTTTCTTCTGCACCCGACAGGGATTCCAATACTTGAAAAAATAAAGATCGAGCGGACAGCAGAAACATTCGTGGAAGTGATTCCATCACCACTGTTACCCATGGTGTTACCCGGCGGAATTTCTCGGATCCTCCGCTCCAGAACTGACTCCGTTGAACTGCAACCGGGACTCTATTCCCAGGATCCGGATAACCCCAACAACCTAACGGTTCAGCTGGATTCCCTTTATTTAGAATTAACATAACCGAAATCCATGGAATTGAATTGGGATATGAGGCGTGTTCTTTACAGGGGATGGAGTACTACTATTTCTGCAAGCGAGAGGGAGAGAAATACCCCCAAGTTGGAAATGAATATGATTACCAGATGAATTCGATCCCAACTGGAAAACTGTTAGTCGACAAAGGAGGTTGCTTCGGAAACGGACCCGGTATATCACCTTGATTGCCTTCTAAGCATCAGCCCATAATTAATACATTTATTTCGATCGATGCGACATATGATCGCGATCAAGAGCAACCCAAACCCTCAACTAAAATAATTACTCATAATCACCCTCATATTTGTTACATTCATCATGTCACCGTAGTGAATCGTTGTTTTATTTTATGCATTCAGGATGATCTTATGTATATTCTAATCTGGCACTTGTGTAGATGACCTTCATTTCTGCTCTTATTGTGACATTCTAGTCGATGTCGACCAAATTTATTGGCGTTTTTCATACCAGGGGTGCTTGATGTGAGAGGATCGTCCTTGAAGATTCCTTGCAGCGTTTTTTCCTCGCCGGGGGTCTATAACATGATGGTAGAGGTAAGAAAGACGGGGCGGAAAGCAAATGCCTATGTGGACGTGGAAATATCAGCTCTGAACTCCATCCCGAACGTCCTCATCGCGTAAGTGTCCCAAATCTCTTTTGGACGGTCGACGGTTCGATGGATCGAGGAAGGTACGATCGGGAGGTGTTTTTGATCAAGTTGCAAGACGGCGTCATTGTGCCAGCCGCCCAGACCAGAGGGAATATACGTGAACCCGACGACTCGATTGGCGATCAAAGGATCTTGCAACTCCGGTTGCGAGGGAAACGATAGCAACCTCGTTTACTCTTGGGAACTCCGAACTGTGAACTGCTCCTATAATCCATGCCTCACAAGTCCTCAACCCATGCCGTTTCGGGTCGCTTACTTCCCTGGTACATCTGTCGTTCTTCTTCTCTATGAATATTTTCTTTAATTGTCGCGGGGCCAGGGTCCGATTTGGCTCTTCTCGTTTGACAGTGGGCTTGCAGCAAATGGAGATTGCGATCTCGCAGGAATTCTTCGCATACATCGAGAACCAGGGAATGAACCGGTTCGACATTCGTCTTGGCATCACTATCAATTCGACAGGAGCCAAAGGTTTCCTTCTTGGCACTCTCTTGGGGTCCCATCACGCGTTCTAATTCTCAGCTCTGTTGCAAGAGCAAATTGTGCTCGAAAGTCCTAAGCTCACCTTGTCGTTGTCCTAAGCTCATTGAGTCGTCTCGGAAAGGAATGGAATTCAGACCTTTCCCTAAATGCATCGTTTGTAGCTGACCCAGAACCAGACCCAGAGATGAAGCTCATAGATTTCTTAGCGACCTAGCTATGTTCGACGGGAACCCGAAGGTTTCGACTCGGTGACCATCCGGACTCGCTCAAGAAGCAGGCCTTCACGTTCCATTGTGGTGACTTTATGAACTGCCTCGCTTGTCTCATGAGAAATGTTATACTTTTTCTTACTTTTTAAAGTGTTCACAGCCTAAAACTATTTGAGACAATTTAAGATGAGCCTCAAAATCCATTTATGCCAGTCAGACTCCAGGACAGCTGGATAACCATTTCGAGTTAAGGAAGGTCCGATGCTCCAGAACTTTCCGTCTCGGTAGGAACTCATTCTTGTTTTCGGTCGATCAGACCAGCCGATTCCTTGAACCAAGTAGAAGTCAAGAAAACTAATTGAGTACGTGAATCTTTCTTTGAAAAAAAGCCTTTATATTTATCTCGTTCGGAAAGCAATTGGAAGTCACATAAATACAGTATGTTTAATTGATTTCGAGACATGCTTCATGAATCTATTTCCCTTGAAAGGTAGGATTATGAATTCTGAATCAACTGGATCAACACGTGTCAAATTGCCTTGCCAAAAGGGAAGGAGAATCCCTCTATTTTTGCTCATCTCTTTCCTCGAATTGAGACTACAGTATGTGTACAAGGGTGAGCAGTTAGCCCTTGCCATCGATTGAACAACGGGTTTATAATTGCTGCATGCATATTGTCGTTCTTCCCATCCACGTGACTGCGTCACTACGTCCTTCCAAACCTTCTGCTCTATGTGGCAGGGGTAATTCCCTCAAACGCAGCAATTTTCGGCTGTCTTAACGTGCATGTTTGTGACAGGATTCTTAATTATATCCCACAACGCGCTGTCGCACGTTAGTAAACCTCCAGAAAGGCTCGTAATGAAGTTCACAAATTGCAACTGGGGACTTTATTCCCACCCACCCATTATGCGCTGTGGGGTGGAGAGTTCTCCCTTCCCGATGATGAGACATATGATGAGATTTTTCCACCTCGTTTCTCTCTCTCCCCTCGCTGAGATGCCTTATCAGTGGAAAAGGCTCGTCTCCTGATCGATGAAAAAACCTATAAAATATTCGAGAAGCTGTGGACTTCTTGTCCTCATTCAGGATTTCGTCGTTAATGAGTGTTGACCTTATGCTTCCGTACATGGGTACCGTTGAACCTATCCTCTCCGGACCAGAAGCAGCTGCTTGAGCAAAGCGCTCCAATGCTCCAAACATCCCCGAATGACCGAGAGCGCCTACGGGTTTAGGGTTAGCAAGAGTTTTGAATGCTTGCAGGGTATTCCGAGTTCTACATGATCAAGAACCGCCCGCCAACTGGAGGAAAATGCGTGCCCACTCCTCCCACCAACTCCATCTTGAAGGCCTCGATTGACGCCATCTATGTCAGCTGCACCAATTGGATCGACCCCGAGGGAGAACTCATCACCTCATATGCCTACTACTGTATGTTATCATGCTCCAGATGACATAAGTCCTACTCATTCCATGGAGATCGCATTTTTATTTGAGCCCACATGCAACTACGTCTATTCACTTTGCCATCCATAACTTGCTCTTAGACGGCTCATCATGACGTGATAAAAGGAATAGATGTCTCCGATTTTTTCGCTATCCTTAAAGCGAGCGATTGGACACATTTCGGTCAGAGAGCGAATGAGAATGCAATCTGATATTCGGCAGCGATGAGGGAGGACGGGGGAACTGAAACACGAATTGACTTGGTGAAGACGGTGCAGGAGGATCGATCCCTCTATTTGGGAGTGGGGATACACAACGTCCACGTCATCATGCAGGATTCCTGGGGCGCTGTCACGGACCTTCACCTGGGAAATTTCACTGTTATTTTTCAGTCCCTATTATGTATTGCACAATTTTTTATGCTCTGGCGGATGAACCTTGAGCCGACCCGATGTGATGCAGATGGAGCTCCCGACTCCGAAGGAGTTCGAGATGGCCAAGAGGTTAGGGGTGTTGATCGGATCAGGGGATCCATCGACACTGGCAATGATCTCCCAGGCCCAGGCCTCCGTCTATCAGAATGCCCCATGGATGAAATTGGATACGAATTCCCTGCAGAACCTTCCCCCGACCGAAGTGGAATCACGCCTCGCCGCTGTACAACAAGTATGCTTAGTCCGCATCCACGCCACTAATTATTCTCCTTTATCGTCGACTCTTACGATGGTGATTCATCCCCTTTGGTGATAATTCCGTTCTGCTCAATATATGATCCGCTATTTTTGGCTTATACAGTAGAATGGAGATGGCGTTAAAAAAAAATCAATAATGATATTTTATAATTAAAAGAATCGCAAAAATAAGCAATGGCTACGAATGGAAAATGAGCGGGAAAAGACGTGAGTATGAAATGGAAGAAATGATTCCACTCCGGCTAACTCCCAGATGAGGACAGAAGAAAGTCATGGATTAGGAAGAAGTGACTTGGGAGCTACACTAGATGAAAGACTACTTTTTTTGACGTTTCTGTTTTATTCTTGTATCGATTAGAAGAGAAACACCTCCCAAACCATAGAAACTAAAGGAGGATCAGGAAACGAGGAGAATTGCTAGGAAGAGAGTATCGATTGTACTGTCACGTGGTTGGCGTTATGGTGCTGTTGAGGGGTATGTGGATGAGTGGAGGCTTGCGTGGGTTCGCGCCAAGCCTCACGTGAACGTGAAAGAATATGGTCGACAGGATTCCAACACGAGCAAGGTTTAATCCCTTAAATAAAACACCCTCCAAGTGGAGGTCACCAGGATTTTGGGAAATGGTTGGAGTGCTGTTGATTGGAAGTGAGGGGAGACTCTCGAGACGCTCTGCCGAGAAGTGGAGGGTCGGCAGGCGTGAATGGCTCCGTTGAGAAATGTTGAATCGGCGGGCGTGGATGGCACAGTCGAGAAGTGTTGAACGAATGAGCAAATGCTCCAAATATCCGGTGACCTCCACCTTTTAAGGGCAAGTCTGGCCGAAGAAAGTAGTTCTCCGGGCCAAGGTGAAGGGGCTGGTACATGCCCCATGGCGAGGGCGAAAAGGGATGAAAGGAAGAGCATCAGGGGCAACGAGAACATGACAGTACGGATCTAAAGTACATTTGTCCATGCGTTTCATAAACGGAGTTTTCACATGAAAAACTGGTTGGGGAGGGGTGGGAGAAGAGTAAGAGAGAGAATAGAGTCATTCCATGTCAAATCAACACACTGTAAAACATGACCTCTATAAAGGTGTTGATTTGATATGGAATGATTCAATGTGTTATCTGACAAGGGACAATTTTTTACTTTTCAGTGACAAAACTGCCAATATCTCAAAAAGTTCTTGATATCCCAAGATGATTCTCGGCAGACCTGCTCTACCTATAGAGGCACGCCTGTAAGACAAATTTAGTCAAAATAGAAAATAATGACGTCATAAGTTTGAGTTTCGATTTTATCGCTACGTTTTATTTCTTGAGATATATTTCTAACAAATCTAATGCTATAGGGAGGGGCAGGAAGAGACCTTTCAGAAGAGACATAAAGCATCTCTCTACCTTGAAAAGAAGAGAAGTTATAAGCGTATTTAGGGACAGAGGTGCTAAAAGGTAACAAAGCAGACAGTACATTTAGAGCCTCTTGTCTTCAGATCCAAGCGACTGAGAAGAAAACTATTTAGGATTTCGCACTTTCTCAATTGTACAAAGCTTTGGTCCAAATTTCATCAAAATCGGAGGAGCTCATGTTTCATAGTGTGTTGATTTGACGTGGAAGGTATAGGAAGCAGACATGTACCAATATACTGTATTACCGCATAGGCATAACGTGGAGGGAAAAAGTGAGGGGGACACGGGACATTAGGCGGGGGGAGGGGGGGGGGGGGGGGGCGGCACGGGGACAATGAGATACTGTTACCATTCGGGAGCGGAATTTTATGTGCTAATAAGTCTTAAAATTTGCACATACATATGCGTTTAAAAGGTACCAAAATATGCATGAAATATGCACGGATGTGGGAAAATATGGAAAAACATGTGTTTTTTAATGCAGTAAGAATTATTCGGAAGAAGGAGCTTCAATGTACTGTACATGTCATGCCTCTGCTGGGTATACTCGTAGTTGGTCTATTCTTGTCACTGCCAGTGGCGAAGCCAGGAATTCGCCAATGGAGGGCGAAAGGAAACGTACGGGGGCTAGAAATTCCTTAACTCCTCGAGAGGGATGCAGGTAGCGGATGGATTTATGACAAGAGTTCTTGGGGCTTCACCACTCCAGCCCCCCCTCCCCTCGCTGCGCTACTCGTCACAGCGCATAACCGCTGAAAAATTATTACAGGTTCCTCATAGAAAAACATTTCTCTGGTAAGTCTTTATTTTTTCATTAAAAAAATGGGCGAAATATGCATAAATATGCGTACACATGCACATTATGAGAAAAACGTATAAATATGCATTTTAATGTGTTTTAAAAATGGCAGAAATCGCTTCCTCTACCAATAAGATTTGATCCTATCAGGGTTGTATGCTCCTAGGAGACCACAGAAAAAACATGAATTTGCATAAAAATCCGCTCCCTAGTTATCATGCATTTCTGGGTCTTTTCCTTCTTTTATTTGGCTTCTTTTCTGGAAAAGTGGAGGGGAAAGGGCACGTGCCCCCTCCTCCCCCCCCCCCCTCCCCCCTCCCAACGCTATGCTGCTGTATTACCTCATGCACCAAAAGGATGAAAAGTATCCGTTCATTTGCGATTGAGGGTTACACGGACACGTTGTCGGGAATGGCGCTGATCGGAAACACGGAGAACCAAGGCCAGATCTTGGTGACGACGAGTGTCCTGGCTCAGGTGGCATCTGGAATCGACGGAGGGTCCGTATCCACTGTAGCCGTCGGACTCCAGGGACGCCAGGCCGTGACCACCATCTTCGAGGTATTTTTCTCTCTCTCCCTCTCACGCTCTTCGCTCAGGCCTCGATCTAGCCCATCGACGAGGTTCTGCCTTTCTCGAACAGAACATGTTTAAGAGCCTGGATGCCATCGAGTTCGGGAGCCCGGAGGAAGTTCTTCCCATCCTCAAGAATGCACTCGTCGCCGGCACAAAATTCATGGAGGTATGACCTCTATCCGATCCCTTCCTAAAAGTCTCGTGATTCTCCCTTGACGTCTGGAAGTTTTTTTTTTTAATGCGCAAGGGAGTCGAGGGACAGCTGAAGAAAGGGGGCAATTGCGACGAGGTGGCGCAAGTGAACAAGTCCTTCTGCTCGCCGGCTGACAAGAATCAAGCTTCCCTAGATTACGAATTCCCACCTAAATGTACGTGGGGTACCCATTAAGTTCTCGCCATGACCATAACATGTAGCACACAAAGTGCCTCAGTGAACGTCCACCTTGGACACCCCTGCTTTAACATCTCTCTGCCGGTCTTAAACCACTCTTACGACACCTCCTCGAACCACCCTTCGGTTTCGCGCTTCACAGCATTGTCATCCCGAAATTTTTTACTTCAGATGTCGAACATGAAATAATCATAGGGTGCCAGGTAGGGTGGATAAGGTGGGTGCGGCAGTCGCTGAAAGCCAGAGTCATTAAGAGAGAATCTGTGATACATTGACTCGGCGAGCTGGCGAATCGTCATCCAAATGAGGACCCAATTTCCTTAACTGTCCTTTGGGGCCTTTTTTCGTAGATTCGTTCAACCAATGATTACCAATGATTCAGCGTAGTACGGGCCCGTGATCATTCTGTAATGGAGCACATAGGGAACATTTGTGAGGAGCCCAGCAGGCACAGACCCTTTCAGTCCCCGCGTTTCGTGCGATATGGTTTGAACACTTCCCTTAGAGATAGGCGTGTGATATTTCTCGTTTCCATTACCAACTTTTCTTCGGCTCTGCAAGTTTCCTATGTCGACCCGGGAGGGTGTCATCTTTTATTGAATCTCGTTCTCGCCGCAATCAGCTATCCACTTCTTTACTGTGTTGAACGATCCGTATAGATGTTAAGCAAGCACATATGAATATTTCGTGGTGATAAGCCTTCCTTCAGTAAATCTCGATCACGAATCGGTGCCGAAAATTTTGAAAATCCTTGAAAATTCAATGATACAAGATAGCGGAGTGTTACTTATGCATAAGAATAGCTAAAAGCTAACTTCGCATGGAAACAGCTTGCTAGTGACACTACTAGCCTACACTGTTGCATTTGAAAAATCAATGGTCAAACCGAGGACTTCTTGGGTACGTTTGCCAGGCTTTATTTTTTCGTGGATTTAAATTATTCACGATGTTCTTCATATACACGTTAGCTAGTTACTTAATGTCAGTTAGTTTCATTCTTGTTCAGAATAGTGACCCTAACGAATGTGAGGAGTACCTGTCTTTTCCAGCTCCGCTCTGGGTCCAAACGAACGACGAAGACACCCAGCGATGCTGTTACATCCTGGATCGAGCAAAGTACGAATCCAAAGGCCTGAGTCAAATCGTAGTCCATATCATCAGCAAGCTGGTTTCCAAGATGATGCAGGTCATGGTGCAAGGGGATATTGTGAACGTAGCGACCGAGTCCGGTGTCAACGTGACTGTCATGAAGTCGGTCGCATGCTTTCGCTTTTCGGTAACGTATTCTAACTGCAAAAAAAAAGAGATGACCGAAAGATGTTCGTAATTTGAAAGGGACGCTCCGGTGAATTTGCTGAATCAGCCCAAATTCTTCGGTTCAGGGTCTTCCTTTGAGTTCAAGGGCTGTCCCGTCGCGGACTGTAACAAACCCATCGGCTTCTCCTTCAGCGAATTCCCTCACAACATCATAGTGAGTCTGAGGGGAGGGGGCACGTTAAGTACGTCTCTCCCACACGCGAAACTGTATGATTCTCGCAGAATGGGCCGAATAGCGACTCGAAGGCAGTAAACGGGACAAAGTTGATCTCCATCTCCCTGATGGACGAGAACGGGACGGAGATTAAAGTGGAAAATCTCAATCCTCCGCTACGACTCCAGATCCCTATTGTCCCCCAACCCAATGTCCCAAGTGAGACACATTCCTCTCAGTTTTTCTCCATGTCGTAGACGAACATCGCTATGGGACGTCGTGGATCGGTTCGTAGATAGCACCTGGGTGAATCCGAAGGTGAGGCTTCTGGATCGGAGGACCCCCATCATCTATCACATACTACCCAAGCCCGACATTCCAGGGAGACTTCAGCTGGAATTTTCCTTCGATCCCGCCTCTGAGCCGAAGAATTTCCTCATTCTATTCCGAGACGATGGACTTCCCCTGCCCATCCAGGGAAAATTTGATCAGGATGACTCCTGCGAAACTACTTTTGAGATCAGAACCATGAAATCCCTTCCAGGTCCTCTTCCCTTCTGTGAATACTCGGGGAATATCTCAGGAAGCACACCACGTTGACCCCTTGTGAGTAGGAAAGTTGTGGCTAACATCGATGTGGGCTGACCATGTTGACCCCGTCGAGCGAGTCACTCCCTAATGCGACAGGAATAAGTCCTCTTCAGTTTTCATGCGAAACCGTATCAGGGAAATAGTCTGGAATTCCTCGACACATTTATCTAAACTGGTAACCACGTCAAGGGAACTCGAGGCAATTTCTAAGGAAAGGATGATCCAACTATGGGTATGTCTGAGGATGAGAGCAAGTGTATAAATACAATCGCGTCTGAAGGAGGTGAGTTGGGCTGTGTTATTTAGATCACCAGAAGGCTCTTATCTGGTATGCAATCCCACAGCGGGAAAAGAACCAGAAGTGTGATTCAAGAGATGCTAATTCTTCGAAGAAAGTTAAAATCTCACAAAGAGATGATGGAAGAAAGGTAACACTGGCTAGAGTTCTTCTGGAACGAGGGAGACTCGGCGGCATGAAAGCTCCCAGCTGGGGAACAGAGCAGTTAGGTGGGAAATTGGAGGTTGCTCCTCAACTCACCAGAGCGCCTAAAGTTATTCTGCACGTGAGTATTTAATGTTGGCAAAAAACAAATCGGATGAGACTACGAGGGAACGGAAGTAATGCCTGAATCGCTTGTGGACTTCCAGCTTTGACCCAACGGGAGTGGCTGATGTCGGTCCAACCCGGAGCCTTTCGGGGTCGGGACACTCAGGGGTCGGCTGTGGGAACCGACGTGGAGCCCACATCGCATACGTGGAATTACCGGCATACATGCCGGGAATGTCCCCATAGTTCCTACGTTGGCCCAGCGCGGTGTGCTGCCTGGGATCGTATCCTAAGTTAATCTTAATCCACCAATAAGACATGAAAATAGGTATGGAGAAAGAGATGAAAGTTACCTTTTTAATTTATGGACAGGATGTCTGTAGTTCCTGGCACAATTCGAACGGATCGTGCTTTTTATTATAAAATATATCGCTAATTAGAGGGGGGGCGGGAATTCCTCATGATTCTCGCCGCATGGTGGCCTAACATGGAGCACGATTTCAGCTAAGGTTTTCGGTTTAATTTATGAAGTCGATGTGTGAAAGCTAGTAGGTTAAGAAATGAGACTGGTAGTACCAAAGCGAATTAAAAAAAAAAAGTTAAAATGAAAAAGAGCAGCATCATGGAAAAAAGGGAGAGGGTTAGGAGTCACCAAAAGCGATGAAAGCTTGCAACTCGGAAGATTGAAACCCAGGTGAAAATGTTCTATATTCGATTCTACATAATGGTTCCACGATAGAAAGTTTCTGTTATCGATCGAGGAGAACAAACCAAAAGAAAAAGGATCACGTTAAACCGTTCATGATCGACAGAAAACCCAAATCTGAAACTCCGTGAATCGTGCAACCAGTTCGACATCTTAAATTTCCGCAATGTCGGGCTTAGTTTTTATTTACGAATGAAATGTCTTAACACCTCGTGGAACACCATGTAGTAATTGGAGATCGATGTAATGACACGAATGACGGTCAGTGGACGTGATTACACCCCCCACCTAAAGGCTTCGCAGTAATGCAAATATTCCAATGCAAATATTCCTATCGTGAAGAATGCTAAAAGCATTGAGTCTTAGAAACTTGCTCAACTTTAAATGCAAAATTTGATCCTTTAATGAGGCAAAATTTTCATTTAAACCGTAGTTGCCTGCTTTTACAGATGAAGCATATGACGATGAAACCCATTAGCTCGACACCTTGACCTAGTCTACCGAACCGTAATCTGTAGCGTTCCAGCAGGTCAACAATATTGAGCGGCGAAAATTTGAATACTTATCTTGTAGGCGTATTGACCTTTAGTTTGCCTTTTGACATTTCTGAAACTCTAAAATGTTCTTCTTTCAATAAAGGCAGGATGAGCTTCCGAAAGATAAGTAATTGTTAGCTGTCTTCATATTGGACATCATCATCATCTCCCAAATCTCATGTTTTAGAAATTAATAGAACGATTTTGAATTTATTCTCTTCAGGGTGAACAACTTCTAACCTCGATCAGGAGACAAGATGCTTGGGATCGTTTCTCAACAGCGTTCAACTATGGAATAAATAAATAAAGAAACCTCTCTTTGGCCACTTTCGGCCGATGCGAGGCCAACTTCGTATATGCACTTGGGAGTCTTGCTTCCTGCAGATTCACAGAGACCTTCCGATCGAATGACTAGCAGTAGAATCGTCATTCACTAACATATTTTAAAGCCATGGGAGTTTGCAGGAAAACCAGGGAAATACCGATTGTTGAGCTGCAGCAAGCAGGCAGATTCCGGGGTACACAACGTCACCGTCGGGGTCATGATGCTGAAGGAAGGAGTGACTTTCCAGGAAATGCTTAAAACAGCCACTGTCGACAACATGGCACGGGACTACTTGGAAAACAGGACACAGTTCACCTCTTACTGCCTCCAGAGCATCACCACCCGAGTGGTGTACTTCAACGATACGCTCGGGAAGTTCACGGATGACGGCCTCTCTGTGAGTCCTGACACGATGACGAATCGGTAGAGCGAGAGGATCACGGATAGGTCACATTTTCCGTTTACCTGGCAGCTGCTAGAAGCGGATGGTACAGTCCTGAAAATGGAAAGCAGTCATATGACGACTTTCGGAGGAGGATTCTTCGTCATGCCGAACACCGTCGATTTGGAATACGTGTTTCACCATTTGGGATTCGACGACAACCTGACCATCTACATGACCATCATCTTCACCGGCATCATCATCCTCGTCCTCCTCGTCTGGGCCCGCCTGCAGGACAAGAAAGACCTCCAAATGGTAGAACGTGCTTCCATCTCGCATCTTCACGCGCAACGACCTAATGGGGATTCTTGCAGATTTCTAGAAGTGCCGATGAATCCCCGTGGCGATACGATTCTCCTCGTACCTCCCGTTTCCATCCGCGAGAATTCTGTCTCTTTCGTAGCAGGGTATGCACCTGACATCCGATAGGGAATCCATTCACTCGCAGAAGCTCTCATTTGTTGGGTCGAATCCACTACTAATTTCGATTAAATGCGTGCGAGACATGTGAGAACCTCGACATGATCCATTTTGATCTGCCTAACTTTGAAAGCAGGATGGGAGAGCGGGGTTCATTCCATTTTAAGTTCTTTTCTTCTTTTTTTCATAGCTAAAGTGCCACACGAGTTGTGAAGAATATGGACTTTGAACGATACCAGTTAGGCCCACCTAGCGCATGAACGAGGAAAACTCTTGCACTATGGAATTTCCTAAAGCTGACGATTCCCATTCCTGCTCTTGTTCTTGATGTTATGGCTGCTTTCCTTATCGATGTCGTGTTCGTCGTAGATCGGAGCGATCCCTCTGCCCGACAACGATCCGAGAGACGCTTACGTTTACGAGATTCTCGTGTCGACCGGAGACAAAAACCTGGCTGCAACCGACTCCATCGTCTCTGTGAGAGACACTTGTCTACCGTCGAACCGATTCGCACCGGAGTCTGCCGATTCTGATCGAAAGTCGTTTTGCAGTTTATTCTGAGCGGGGAGAAGGAAGAGACACCGGTGCGAGTATTCGGGAAACCGACGAGACGGATCTTCGGCAAGGGATCCACGGACGCTTTCGTCATGACCACACCACGGTAGCTTTCTTTTTCCTTCCATTCTCGTGCCCGTGGAACTCGTAAAGATATCGATGAATCTCGTCGAAGGCCCCTGGGTAACCTGAACTACCTGCGAATATGGCACGACAACTCCGGGAAGGGGACGAATCAATCCTGGTTTCTCAACTTCTTGATCGTGAAGGACATCCAGACCGGGATCGAGTACGAATTCATCGCAAACGCGTGGTTTGCCGTCGAGAAAGGCGACGGACAGGTAACGCGTGGCAAGAGGTCCACTAAGATCACGGTTTTCGTACGGTTTCTTGCAAATCGTATCGCTCGTGAGACCTCGAGTACGTGGATTCCGCTTCGCTCCTCGAGACGGAGATTCGTGCCTTCGTCGAGACGGTTCTGCGCTCGATTCTCTCGTGCACTGAGAACGACGGACCGATCGACTTGGAACCTCATCGCTGTATAGTAGTCCAAGGCAGCAGAAAACCTCACCAATACAAAAAGTTCCTCCCGCTCCGTCTTCGACTCGAAGTATTTCACTTGCACCAGCGCTATGAACTCAAGTTTAACCTTTGACCACTTTCGAGCACTACAAGGAGAAAGACCCTTCTTTGTCGGGGCACATGCGTCATCTAGATAAGAAACAAAATCGAGATGAAAAATGTATAGTTTGATATTCACATTGTAGACAACCTGAAATCTGATGTAATTTCATAATGAGCTTCCGGGGAGGTGAGCCTCATCCGGGAAAACAAATTCTCATCCTAGCCTCATTTTAGACTTCTCTAATTTCCAGTGAAATCCGAATCACATCCTTTAATTGAAGTAGATCCCATTCATATCGCGTTTGTGGAAACCACTCAAACACCAGGCGCATTCACCTTTCTTCAGCACTTATTATTCGAATTGGCAAGAACGGGCTGAACTGTAGTTATGGTATCACCACTGACTTGGGCAGGCTAGGATAATGCATGACATTGAGACATCATCATAATATTTCTTCGCCAAGTTTATCATGATTAGGTATTTCTCATTTTATTTTGTTTTTACTGCTGTCGCGAGAAAATATCATACGAAACAAACTCGCATTGACCTAGTTCAGATGAGCATGTCGAAGTCAAAGTCAAATGGTTTAAACAATTTTCTAAAAGAATCAAGAATCATCAACTAGAATATAAGTTTATGGTTTATACTGAAAGCAAAAAAAGGCTCAGATTTCTACCTCATAAAAAATACATGCAATAAACTGGGACAGATAAATAACTACGTGAATTGTGATTTTGTTGCTAAATTTATTGTAAAGACATGTTTCTCTCGATTCGCCCCTGGAAATTAACTGCATTCATATTTTCATTTCTGGCCGCGTTTATTTCACGCGCCGAATCACTGTGCACTGTTGGGACGTGAGTGGGTCTCGATTGCGGGTAGCTGCTGCGAGTAGCACAGCTCATGTTAGATCGTGACGTGTTGTGCGGCGCTGTTGGCCCGTGACAGAGGTTCCAGCTACGTCTGCGTGCACGATCAGTTTCTTCGAAGGATTTCCCTATTCAGAAAGGGAATGGACACCGTCCAACGATCGGCAGAGAACTTCGCACTTCCACCCGATTCCCGAAGGAGGCGATACAGATCCACGCACTCGAGGTCACACTCGTAAATTCTGCAGGGAACTAAGCCCATTCGGCACAACAACGTTGTATCAACATTGAGAATAGGTTGAAACGTTGAAACTTGGTTGAAGTTGAGAATTCGACGAAAAACCAACATCAATGAAATGCTACCTATTCATAATTAGTATTTTCAGCATTTGGTGACTACTCGTGAATTAGGGAAGTCGTTCAGAGGCTATTAAGAGCACATTTTTTTAAAATCGTATTCTCAATATTGTTTTTACGTGGAGTTATCCACATCATATAAACAGAAAATAGGTTCTACGAATCGACGCGAGATGGCACCTGACCGCCGATTCGGCGATTCTTATCCTGATGCCTTTAAATAAACAGTACCCTGCAATTTTCATACAGTACCCGATCTTTTCCCATTTACAGCATAGGAGAAGGTATAGAAATTCCTAGATAGACATGTTTAAGGAGGTAATCAGGCAGAAGGAGACCCAAAGTACTTCTGACTAGTAGGTCCGAGAAGACACGCTCAATTTTCCTAAATCTCCACATGGCACGCGCCCTTTGTCAGACTCGTCCATGATGATAGAGTATAAAAATCCGCGAGGTTTGGTTTCCTCTACTGGACCGAGAGGATTGAGTCATGCAAGTACTCAATGTGAATTCTCATTCATTAGAGGAAATAAAACTCTGAGGGTCCTTTACGCGGGATGATTGTACTCAGTAAAGTACTGCTAGTATCATACCACTCGGGACCCATCTATGGAGTTATCGAGTCCATATTCAATTTCATCCGATAATCAAAGCTCATTCAGGCCCTGGAATAGGGAGGAGGTACTATAATGCCCTTACGTTGAAAATTCAACGTTGACAACGTCGCACAGCATCAACTTTTCTACGTTGAGCTGTGTTTCATTTCAACATTGTGGCAACGTCATGGCAACATGTTACGTTGAAAAGTCAACCTTTTCTCAACATTGAGGCAACATTGCTAACATTGTGGCAACATCATGGCAACATGTTACGTTGAAAAGTCAACCTTTTCTCAACATTGAGGCAACATTGCCATCAACCTTTTTTCAACGTTGACACAACGTTGTTGTGCCGGATGGGAGGTCTTACAGAGTATATCGATGTCGATCGGTGAAAATCTCGGGAACGGGTTTCGATGTCTGCAGATCGATCGACTGCTCCCTGTGGCCTACGACGAGCAGAAACGGAGCACGGATTACCTGTTGAGCACCCACTCCCAGAGGAACTTCCGAGACGGACATCTCTGGTTCTCTGTGTTTCTGAGGCCACCGAGGAGTCGATTCACGAGGGTTCAACGCGTCGGCTGCTGTGCTGCCTTTCTCTATCTCTCCATGCTGGTGAATGCCATGTGGTACGGAACCGTTCCGGATGCTTCACCTCACGGCTTACAGCTCGGACCATTCGTCCTCACCCCGGAACAGGTCTGCTCATCGCCTCTCGCTTCATCTCGCCTGGTTCTTTTGCGATTTCAAAATGAGCTCTGTCATCGCCAGATGGGAGTGGGAGTGATGGGGAATCTGATCGTGTTCCCACCCTCTTTCCTCATCATCATGCTCTTCAGGAAATCACGACCCAGAGTCCTTCGTCCGTCCCGCATCGATAAAGCACTGGACGAACAAAGTCTGCACCGACCTACTATACACAGGCATCATCGATGCCGTGCATAAAGTCTCTCCCGTGTTTCAGGTGCTGGAAGGGTGAACTACATCCCTCCAGGGTCAGGAACGAAGGCGAAATAGTGAGTTCTCTTCGATTAACTTCCTTCTCCAGTACATAGTGTGCGTGAAAACCTCTCGTTACTCGATATGCAAGCCCTCGGAAGAAGAGATGCACGTTACCGTGGTGGTTTATGCTGGTGGCATGGTTTTTGATACTGGTTTGCATCGGAGTGAGTGTGTTTTTCACCTGGGCCTATGGTATCCAATTCGGAAACTCCAAGACTCTCAAGTGGGTGACATCCCTCGTCATCTCCTTCTTTTCCTCCGTCCTCCTCGTCCAACCCTTGAAGGTACGTCCGTTCCAGCCGAAACTGCGAGTTGCCGGCTTCGGACGCCTTTTAGACGTGTCTGTACGGAGTGGATGCACTTTCTGTCAGGTTTTCCTGATGGCGTTGTTCCTGGCCGCCGTGTGCAAGGTGAAACCGGATGAAGACGATGCGGACGAAGACGAAGAAGATCCTCGTCTTCGATACGACGAGCAGTGGATCCAACACGACGGTCCGCGATTCCAATCGTTCCTTTCTTGTTCCCCGTTGCAAATCTATAAAGTATTTTCGGAGTTCACATGAATACGATAACTTCCCCTCGAATCGGCTTCAGATCGAGAACAGGAGGCCGGTATCAAGAGGATTTACCAGCCGTTGAGCAAAGCAGCACTGGAAGCAGCACGAGAGAAAAGACTGAAGGAAATTAAAATGTGGGAACTCGTGAAAGAGATCGGATTCTATGTCTTCTATCTCTGGGTTCTTCTCGTTCTCTCCTATGGAAACCGAGATCCAAATGCCTACTATCTGAAGCGGTGCTTTGTCTCCAGCTTTCTCAGACTCGGCGATGACAATGTTGACTTCAGCAAGGTCAAATAACCTCATGGAATCTCGTTCGTATGAATGTACCTGGATATGATTACATGTATGGTATAGTGTATTGTATGGTCAACGCCTAGAGGCCCAATATTCTCAAAATTCGTCAGCATACTTTGGGACGCAAAGACCCTCTCTTGGATCGTTCCTTGTGAAGTGGTCCGAAATCCAGTTTGCTGCATCACCGATTGAGGGGATTTAGCCAAAAGGGGTCATGACTATTAGGTGTTATAAGAAAGCCTTAAATCCGAAATTCTCCGGAATCAGAGAAATACCTTCACAATATTTTGAGAGGAATGGGCAAAGGGATCCCGTGGAAAAAAAACACCACGTCTCAAACTACTCATGCTAGAACGCTGCTTGATAACTCATTTTTTAAGCTTGAAATCATACGTTTATAGAATATTTAATCCGTTTTTCTGGGTCTCATTTATGAAGTAAGCTACATTTTGTGCAAAATTGTACATGTTCAGCCTGAAAAATCCAGCAGTGGGAAAGCTGGTAATGAATCCAGCTTTGGGACGTTTTTCAAGCTCCATGATCTTGCGAACTGCAATCGGGATGCATGAGGGAAATTTCGAAATTTCGCTATCGGAGCTATTCCTGGAAGTGTGAAATTAAAACGGGGAACTATTCTCCTTCGGCAGCATATCGCAGAAATGATGAATTATTCTGAAGTTAAAAGAATCGGTCCGTAAACAAGGTCCAAGTATTTGCAACCGTGAACTCTTCGTTGACCTGGTCGCCTGATGGTCCAGTACGGCTGATGTCTTCGTTCGAGCAGGCAATCGCGAGAGTTAACGAAACTGTCACGAGCGTGACAATTTAAAAAATCGCACCTTCTCACTTCCATTCGTGAATTCATGAAGACTAAATGCCCCAAATACCTTTCGTGCATTAGCAAAAACAGCAACATGTATTTCTGCATTTGTATTTTAGGTCCATGACCAGCATCATCGTAAGATCATGTCCCATGTATTTATCGTTTTCATGCTTGCCTGGACATGTATGGAAGTCTGTCTGATTTTCCGCTATTTTCATAATGTATTTCGTACTAGCTGAAGTACCCGGCGTTGCCCGGGGAAATTCAATATTTCATGCATGACATATTGGAAACATTAACCTTATGGTTTCTTATGAGTTGCCGATCTTGGGTGTCGCAAAATGCGCTCGTACCCCTTTCCCTTTTTTAACTTTTTTTTAACGCTTTGAATAATTTCTAAGTTATTCTAAGTTAAAAACTTCTTGGTAAAATGTTTTATCGTTTTGAAACATATTTTCAATGAAAACTTGATCAAAAGAATATTACTTAAAACTACCTACTGTAGCGATCCCGGGGTACTGTAATGCAGGTGGCCGGGAGGGGAGAGTTGGATGGCATGAGAGGACGAAAAAAAGGCAGGGGGTGGCCGGAAATCGAACCCGGGCCTCCTGATCGCCGGTCAGGTGTGCTACCACTGCACCACCGAAACCAGGAGCCAGTCGTTCTTCTCCATGCCATCCCAGACACTACAGTACCCCGAAAAAGTACCCCGGGAGTGAAAATGTTGAATCGAAACATAGCCCTCGACCTTCCCCTGGATGAAAGAGGAGGCCATGCCAAGTTTGGTTACAATGGCTCCAGCGGGGTCCGAATGCATAGAGGAACAGACAGACAGACAGACAAACTTTCTTCTTTATAGATATATATATAGAGAGAGATATGTAATTTTTTCCTGAATACATTTACCAAACTGCCATGAACTGTCATGAAGAAGATAAGGGCTAATTTCTCTTCAAATATTTTACTAATGTTAATATTTCGAATTTATTTCAGCTGCTTTCAGCTTTCAGCGGCTTTCTTTTGGCATATTTTCTTTCTTTATTCTTCTTACTTTCGATTCGGCTTCACCTGTTTTTGCCGTTCTTCGCGATTTTTGGCAGGTGTTGACTGCGAGTGATTTTTGGAACTGGATGAATCAAGTAGCACTTCACGAAATTCGAGCTGAAAACTGGTACAACGGAAGCGCACCTTATGGTCTCCGAGGTTTCTTGAATGACCGTGCGAACCGACTTCTCGGTTATCCGATCCTCCGACAGATCCGCGTCCTACCGGATTCTTGCACGTCTGTATTCCACTTCTCCTCTAGTCTTGCATCTTCTGAAATCAAACTGCATACCAGATATCTATGGGATGCAGGGTGCCGTGGCAGATGGCCAAGGCGAACGTGACCCACTGTGCTGGAAGTTCTGGGCTCTTCAACGAGGATAGCAAGGATTACTGCAACGAATGGAGGAACATCCACGATCCTGGTTCTAACTGCTCCTTCAAAGAATTCACGTACGTGTCGTACGCTCGTCCGAGAGCCTCGTCGCTTCGTGCGTTGCTATTCGTAAAAAATGAAGGATGAAACTTACGTGCGATGCAGGTACACGTCGGCTGAGAACCTGAATGCGCTACCGATCATGGGTTATCTCGACACGTACAGTGGAGGAGGGTACGTCATGGAGTTGAGAGGATATCTTGCCGAAATCAACGATACCCTCAATGATCTCCAAAACCTCCAATGGATCGACAAAAACACTCGGGCCGTCCTCTTGGAGTTCTACACCTACAATGCTCAGGTGCTCACTGCAAAGGAAAAGCCGTTTCGGAAATATTGCGCCTCGAGTAGCGAACAAAAAGAGCTTAGAGAGCTAGTTTGTCATGTATGGGGGAGGGGGTAAGGAAAGCAATTTGCCTGACATCAGCTCATAACGAAAAACTCGAGATTCGCTAAATGTTAAAAACCTTACTCAGCAATTCGTGACGATCGGACATTCGAAAGTATAAAAGAAGACGGAATCAGGGAATGAGTGGCGACGAGTTGAATGAACGTAACATGAAGTAAATTATGAAGAACGCGATCGAATTTAGAAATGAAGTTGTGCATGAAAAATGTAGCCATGTCTGCAAGACGTACGTATGGTCGTATCGTTGCAGGTGAACCTGTTCGGTTCGGGTCGGTTGATGGTAGAGATGGTCCCCGGAGGAGGGTTCGTGCCCTCTTGGCGATTCGACGGCATTCGCCTCATCATTTACCGCGAAGGATTCGGTCTTTTCGTCTTCATCTGCGAGATCCTTTACCTGCTCTTCGTTCTCATCTTCACCTATCGATGCGCGAAGTCCATCTGCGAGAATCGCAAGGCTTATTTCGGGTCCTACTGGAGCTATGCCGAAGTTTCCACCGTGTTGGTCGCCTACGCCGCCGTGGGACTTTACCTCTATCGCCTCTTCGTCACGGATGACATCCTGAAAAATGTATTCTCACTCTACGGGAACGATTACACGAGGCTTCAATACGCGAGCCTCATCGATGAGCTCTTTCTCTACGCCATCTCTTTCCTCTCCTTCGTCGGCATGATGATGCTCCTCAAGCTCCTGCGATTCAATCGCAGGATCGGAATTCTATCCTCCACGATGAAGCAATGTTGGCAAGATCTCTCCGGATATGCCGCCATTTTCCTCCTTCTCTTCGTTGCATTTGCCATCATGTTCTACCTCTTCTTCTACCGAGACCTGTTCGAATGGCGGAATTTCGGCATCGCCCTCATCACATGCTTCTCCATGATGCTCGGCAGATTCAAGTTCGACAGCATGAAGGATAGCAACATCTTCGCTGCCGTCTTCTTCTTCTTCTTCGCCATCACGATGAGCATCGTGATGATCAACGTCCTTCTCACCATCATCATCCGAGCCTTCGAGGTCGTGAAGCACGACATCGTGAACCAGCCCAACGATTACGAGATCCTGGATTTCCTCTATGGCCGATTCCGCGCTTACCTCGGATTCCCTTCTCGTTCCGGCAATGCCGTCGCACCCAGTCCGAAGACCAAGTCCGAGACGAAGGAAACGGACGGGAAGGAGATGGAAGGCTTCCATCGCAAGGTGGATCAACTCGTGGAATACATCGACAAGGTCTATTTCCAGGGGAACATCAACGCGGAGGACAAGGGATGGATCTCGAAGATGCAGAGGAGCGCCGGACGCAATGATCCAAATCTCAAATGAATCTTCTCTTCTCTTTCTCTTTTACGTTTCATTTTCCAGATATTTTTCATCTTCGTCTTCATTTTTTCGCAGCGTCGACGAAGCAATTCATGCAAGCGTTTCGTTCTCTTCCCTTGAATATTAGTTAGCACGGATTTTGAACATTATTTCGGAGTCTTTCCTCTAGAAATAAAGCACGTGTGTCAGCAGAAAAGCGGACCTCTTTCCGTTTCGATTCGGCAGGAACGTGGAGCTAAGAGAAGATGGGAACTGGAAGTAAGGTTCGCCTGCTTCTTTTGAACTTATGGCCTCCCGGCGACGCGTGATCGCGGTACAGCGGCTTCGGTATGAGACGGGATGGGAGGAAACGCGGGTAAAATTGCCACCAAGTCAACAGAAGCGCTCCTTGTCGAGCGCTCACTTCTTTACACGAATGAAATGTCTCTTCCAGGAATTTTTAATTCCAGCTCCTTTTTTTTTTTCCTTAGAAATTGTATGTGGGTCTCGAATGACCAACAACGCCCCTAAGTTTTTGAATGGTAGATCTCGATCGTGTTAGAGCCATGTGAGACCCCACACATCTCTGTGCCCTTCACTTATAACTCTAACAATGTCTTTCTACATGCAAAGGACGGGTTCATCTCTCTCCTTGGCGTGAAATATTCAGTTTCTCTCAATCGCTCGAGCATATTTTCAAAACTCACTAAACCTTATTTAAGACTTAATGACCGATCTCGGGCACTCTGAGCCTTTTTTTCACGTACGTGACGTCCGAAGGAGGAAGTCAGTCCGTAAACCAAAGCCGAGGCAAGGTCTTCGATGGAAAAGGGTATGCGGTTAGAAATGCGATGAGACTGCCGAGAGGAGAGGAGGACTGCCGAGGTCTAAGAGTTTCGTGACGAGGACATCTCCCATCCCGTGGAATTGCTTCCTGTCACATACGGAGTAATATTTAAGAGGAAAAGTAGATGTGGAACTTGCACGGCGTTAGGTCCAACGATTTCCATTTGGAGTCCACTCCATTGTCTCGCCTTTGACTTGTAGTATAGAGGCGACACTTCTCTCGAATCCCATTCATTGACACGGTCGGAATATAGGTGTAACTGTCGATCCTCCACATAGCGGACGCACATCGACAACTCCTCCACTTCCGAGCAGCTGACTCAACGAGACATGCGTGTTACAGTCCATCCGGTCCGACTTTGCCACGCCGGCATTGCCTGTTTTATGGTAGCTCATTAATTTTGTGCTGTCATCAGTCAGTCAAAATGTCGGAAAGGAGCTCGAGGCTATCAGTGGCGGACCTAGGTGTTCCTAGCACTCGTCAGGCATCTTATCAAAATTTCTAAAACCATACATAACCCCATCCCCCCCCCCCCCCCCCCCCCCCCCCCCCCCCCCCCCCCCCCCCCCCCCCCCGCNNNNCCCCCGACCCCCCCCCCCCCCCCCCCCCCCCCCCCCCCCCTCAGGAGCGTCGCGCCAGTGTCTGGCGGAGGGGTTAAAGGGAAATCACCCTCTCCCCTCAGGGGAGAGGAAGATGGATGGCATTTAACGACTCCTTTGAGGATTAAAAGTGTTGCAAAGTTGGACCGGATAGACTATACGTTGAGGGATCCCTTTGGGTCGAATCCCCGAACGAGTCGATTCCCGATTCCGCTGCCATGAAACACGCCTCATGGAAGTGTTGATAACAAGCCACCAGATATCTGTAATATTTTGACCCTCCCCTACCCCTCGGAGTGTCGCTTCTAGTTATATTCTACTCTATGCTTGTAGCGAGGAATCATCGCGCGATGCGTCTCCGATCTCTCCTACCTGCGTGAAAACTCGACGAGTGAGTTGAGGTAAGTTTTTGTTATCCGCTTCATGTAAGACACTTATGCCAGCGGCAAAGGAAAGTGTAATGCACAGGCATAAAGTGTTTTCTTCTTACAGGGACGTAATATTGTTCATTTGGATAGTTCGGGGAGTGGAGAGTGAATATAGCCCGAGGTGCTAGAGAGCTATGTGCTAGTGCGCGTGAAAACTTACTTTTGCTCCACTGTGTGAGCAGCAGGGCATGAGGTCAACAGACTGGCTTCGCCACCCATCGAGTCTAGTAGTTTTTCTCTCAGATCGGATTCTCATTGGATGTGTTCTCTGGATTCGATTGCTGGTTCTCTCGTCTGCATGTGAGTTTGAGTAGGCGTTCTCACGAGTCCGAATCTATTAATAGTTCACATTACGATGTAGAAAAAACTGCATTTCCATTCCTAAAAATGTCTCATCCCTTTGGTGATTAATAAATGTATTTTTCGTGCTTCCAATCACGAGATTTCGGAACAAGATAATATTTTCGTATGTTCTGCAAATCACGGGAGCCTTAGGTTGATTTTAAAAGGGCAGTTCGGTTGCAGTTCAGTTACAGTTGGGTTTTTCTTCCGAGAATAGTCGAAATGTGCCATTTGAACCCAAGTCAGACTGCAGTTGCGAGTCTGTGTTGACGCCCCGTCCAATCTTTGTCAGACTTCAGTCTGACCAGAGTGTGACTATGGTTCCAACCAATTAGTATGTCTGAAGCCTCTCTTCTGTCATGGTGCCTGGAGACCTCGAATTAGACCCACCCTTAGGCAACTGTCTCGAGGGGAAGGGCAAGCTAATAAATACACATCTGTCTTGATTTCTTCTTCCTCTGAGTTTAAGTTGGTGCTACTTGCTTTTCCTTATCATGTCACGGTGGAACGAGGACAATACATGGCTTGCCTTTGCCATTCGCAAATCGTGGCTATGAAGCACCCCGCATGCGATTACGTCTTAAAGCGGCGACGTACGCAGCGGAACACGTTCCCAGCGACGAATCGAATCATGAATATGACACCGATTTGTGGCTGGCGTCGAACCGTTTCAATTCATTTATATCAATAACGGACAAGGAAGTTATGAATGGGTCGACGAGAAGTCGGACCACAACTGACTGCAGTTTCGGTCAGTTGAACCGAGAAGTAACCGAGGCGAGTGGCAACTGCAGTCTGACTATAGTCCAACTGCAGTCAAACAGGAACTGGAGAATGATTTCAAAATATTAGTCCATTCGAAGTCCAGTCGTAGTTCCAGTCGACTGCAACTGCAACCGAACTGGGACCATCTTCGGACTATAGTTCAACTGCAACCGAACTGGGACCATCTTCGGACTATAGTTCAACTGCAACCGAACTGGGACCATCTTCGGACTATAGTTCAACTGCAACTGAACTGCGGCTTTGAAATCAACCTCACTCCTGTTCAGCCGTTGGACGATCCGAGGACTTCATTGCTTCTCCAATCCTTCGAGGAAGGTGTTCAAATCGAAACCTGACATGAGATTTGTGGTTGAGACGTGCTGCATCTTTGGTTTCTCAGACCTTTGTTCTTGTTTTGGTTTCTCATCCTTGGTTACTTTAACTGAAGGGAGAATTGACCTTCACCAGATCGCGACGTACACGCAACTGGGGTCGGAGGGGGTGACGGCAAAGAGTACATCATGCATGTCTCTCACTTCCCACTCCCCGCCTCTGCATAGCCGAAGGCCCTTCGAAGGGGTAGTATAATTAGTAAAATCGCTGGGTTATCCGTCTGCTCGTTCAACATGGGGTCTAAGGAGCGCCGTCGGATAAGTTATTTTTACCAGCCGAGAACGATTAGCGCTCTCACTATCCAAAGAGAGAACGCTCTGCAAGCCGAATGCCCGCATGGTTCAAACGTTTTGATGTTTCAAATGTTTTGATGATCGAACGGGATGGAGATTTTAGTTGAAAGGAAGAGAATGGAAAGGAAGAGAAAAAGCTAAGAAAAAGGTAGAACACGAGCGTGATGCATCGTCCAGACGTGCATCGTCCCGAGACTCACGCGTCCGCAAATGGTAGGCGGTCTCTACGGGATTCCCCGTCTGCACACGGCGAAAAGGTTACACCTAATTCCCTTCGGACTCTGGATGTGCGAAGCGGAGAAACGATGCTGCTGTAGCTCATCGTTCGTTACGTCCCATCCCGTTTTCCTTACTCTCGCTTTCCCTACTCGAACGGCTCGTACTCGACCCGATCTTTAGAGCATGAAGTAAGGAGCAGCGCCATTGCTGCAACAGGCCCCAGTCCCGAGTAGAAGCTACACTCCTGCAATAGGACCCAGAAATACTTCCCATGGACCGGGATCTGTACTGTGGACCCTATGCAGGATGCCTGGGTACCGACTTTCTTTCACATCTGCTGGAATCCCCATTCTTCAACGTCAATACATAAAAAATGAACTCTTTCCATGCGAAACGTTGCCCCCTCGTTCACCTATATTTCATCGCTTTTTCACCTTATATGTAACTGAAGGGCCTTCTTGCAGGTTGAGAGAGGGAGAAAAAGAGGAGATTCCCTGATTTTTATCTGAAGCTTAGGGGAAAGGACTGCTCCGCAAGCAGGACCTTTAAAAGAGATAAGACTCATTTCCTCCCCCTCAAAAATTCCCCCTAGCACCTTCGCGCTTGTCTCTGATATCCTAGTGAGACGCGTTGAAACCATGCTATTCCCCATATGGCTCGGTAGCTGTCATGACTGCAAGTCGGTCTCGCCCAGTGTCGGCGGTTCGGTTCTACCAAAGAATGTTCGCGTTGTAATGTGAATCGCTTCCTTTGACGTTAGGCTAAGTTTATCTCAGGGTTTGTAAACTTTCGAATATTTATCTTGGAGTAGGGTAGTGTAAAAATTAGGGCTGTACCGATGTATCGGCTAACACCGGTATCGGCCGCCGGTGTTGGACTATCGGCCACATCGGACATCGGCAGGTTTGGAACCGGCCGGTGCCGATGTTCAAAGAAGAACGTGCTGAACGAGGGAAAAAAAAAACCACGTGAACGGGGTTCGGTAACCGATTCTCAACGGCGATAGGAAAAAATTAGGGCTATCGCAGTTCATCCATCGATGTATTGATGTTATTTTCGATAGTTGAGGTTGAGATAGTAGGCTTTATCACCGTCGCGAAGGTCACACCTCCCCCTCCAACTCCTCGAATCACAAGCG